TCTCCCTCTCCCTCTCTGAAACCAATAAAAATATTTTTTAAAAAAGAACACAAAATAATTCATGATCACATGTTTACAGGTCTGTGAACAAATGTTTTAGAATAATAATTCTTAATGCAATTCTGTAGATGAATCAGTCTGTTTCTGTGAAGAAATATACTTCACACTGTTTACCTTCTTGATAAAGGGGGCTGTGGCAAGATTGATTTACCTACCTTATCAAGATAAAGAGAATAATATATGACTTGTTATTATGAACCAATGAAAAAAGTAAAACAATGTAATATTAGAAAAACAGATTGTAATATAGTATTATTATATAATTATACATGAGATTACATATGTACCAATGAAGAATAATTAGATACTATATATTATGTATAATATATATATTATAAAGCAACAAGATCATGTTTTTTGTCCCTATAGATCTTTTTTAGTGTAGAAATTTAACTGCATAATTTTTTAATGTTCAGAACATACTTTTAAAAAAATTAAACTTACTGGGGTGGCATTGGTTAATAAAATTATATAGTAGTATATCTCAGGTACAGAATTCTCTGATACATCAACTATATGTAGGATTGCATTGTGGCATGCAATCCTACATATAGTAACCATGTGTTTGACCCTTACCCTTGGTTCTGACCCTTGACCCTGACCCTTACCCATGGTTCTTCTGTAACCATGTGTTTGACCCTTACCCTTTGTTACCCCTCCATCTTCCCTCTGGTAACCTCCACACTGTTGTCTATGTCTAAGTTTCTGTTTGTTTTTGATATTTATTTGTTACTTTTTGTTTTATATCTCACTGAGTGAAATCACATGGTCCTTGACTTTTTCTGACATATTTTGCTTAGCACGATATTCCATCAAGATCCATCCATATTGTTGCAATGGCAGTATTTCATTTTTTTCTAATGGCTGAGTAGTATTCCATTGTATACATGTACCACATCTTTATCCCGTCACTTATCAAAGGACACTTCAGTGGTTTCCATGTCCTGGCCACTGTGAATAATGCTGCAGTGAACTTAGGGGAGCATATATCTTTGCAAATGAATGCTTTCAAATTTTTTGAGTAGATACCCAGAAGAGGAATGCTGGGTCATATGGGAATTTTATTAAATTTTTGAGGAGCCTCCATACTGTTTTCCATAGTGGCTGTGCCAATTAACATCCCAGATACAGTAAGTGAAGTAGAACATACTTTTTAAGATTTTATTTTAATTAGGATATTAGCTTTTACAAGTAAAGTGAATAATTTTATGTATATAACCAGTATAAATAAATAATTATTCTCAAGAAAATAATCATAACCAATTTTTTAAAAAGCTGAAGAAGGAAACCAGAAAGGTATGCTAAAATCAAATCACCAAAAGAGATTTTAAGAAAAATGTCCTTTAAATTCACTGTAGATAGTATATAATACAACTTATAGTTTACAAGAAACATTACAGCTTTTACTATAAGGATTTTTGTTTAAACACAAGAACTTGAAGGTTTTGTTGAGGCTAACATACAAACTTTCTTAAATAAGTAAGAGTATATGGTTAGTTCAGTGATGTTTCTATTTTTCCCTAAAAAAGGAATGTATATTAGGGGCCCCAGATCTTTGGGGGTCATTTTCATTTTCATTTTAGTTTTTTAAAAGAAGGAAATAGGGGGCAAAAGGGAAATATGTATTAGATATGGAGAGAAGAAACTTCTTAAGTTTAGAAATCAGAAGAAATTATAACAGTTCAATAATGCATTTCCAGGAAAACGTTCATGAAAGGGTAAACCAATTGTAATCAAAATTAAAAGTTTCTGGGCAGAATTGAGTGTATTTTTTGCAAAAAATGTGACCATTTATTATTATGTAGTATCACATATATGTTGATAAAAGCAATGATACACCAGGAATATTTAAAAGATATAAATGAAAATAAGGCAATGTATTACTCCAAAATCAATGCCAAGTATTAATGAGGATGCTATCTATGATCATACTGCTGGTAGCAGTATAACAAAACTTAATTTCTCTAGAAACCAATTTGAAAGTATATCATAAGACATTTAAACTTAAAATTTTTGTAGTCTTTCTCTACATTTTAGAATTAGCCAAACAAATAACCAGCTGGAATTAAAATTATTGATTAAAGCACTACAAATGCTTGTGAAAAAGCCTTGAAACTACAATTTATTTTTTCTACATACGACATAATGTGATTTTGTTTAACAAACTTTTTTAAGATTTATAATTGCTGGCCTTTATTTTTAGGTGTTTTTAATTTTTTTATCAAAGTTGAACATGAATATAGTTTAAAGAATTAAGTAGTTCTGTGAAATTTTCAGGGAGAAGGAAAAACATCAGTCCCCTTCTTTTATATTCTGCCTAGAGAAGCAAAGACTCCGGTAGGTGGTGATTTGCTATTTACTGCCATGTCTCCAGCATGTTCGCTCCTTTCTGTTCATTTTAAGTTTTAGCCGTTATCTGATTAATGAAGGAGGAGGATTTAGCATTCTTTCCATTGCTCCAAATACCTTACTATTTCCTGTACTCCAGTTTTTCAGTACAATTATATTGTGATTTTGTTTCAAAACAGTCTTTAGTGTTACATTATAAGTGTTATTTACAACTGAGCCATTGCAATAAATTGTTTCTTTTTGTACACTGCTTTGTTTTTCTGACATTCATAATATTCTTACAAGGTTTTCCTTTTTATGTTTCTGTGTATCACAAAATGTAACCCAGGTCTGAGTATCAGAATGTAGCTTTGTAAGAACCCTCTATGTTTGTAGAAGAATTTATGTAATTTTCATATACAAGGTGGGACAAAAGTAGGTTTACAGTTGTGAGTATGCAACAAAACAGAGTTTATTGTATTATTTACTAACTGTTGTATTATTTTCCTTGTGAACAACAAGAGAAAACAAGTATCACATGACCTCACTCATATGTAGACTCTAATGAACAAAATAGATCCAGAGACAGAAGCATGGAACAGACTGTGGAGTCAGAGGGAAGGGGCAGAGAAATTAACCAAAGAACTTACATGCATAACCCAGGACGCAGACCACGGTGCTGTGAAGGCCTGGGAGGGATGGACATGGCCACTGGGGGAAATAAGCAGGCCTCTGTAAGACTGAACAATAAAGATCAATTTAAAAAATAAAAGGATCTTGATGGTTTTAATGATTAGTTATAGGGATAGCTAAAGGTAATCAGACAAAGCTTCCCTGGTGGGGGTCGGGTGGGGAGGAATAGTCTGTGCTGTCAGTCATCAAAATACATTCATGTTACTAAAAGATTGCCCTGGACAGGGATTTTTTTTCTTCTATTGAACCTAATGGAAAGGAAAGGCGATCTCACCTGACTGCTTATGAATGGCAGGCTGGGTGAAGTCAGAGACATGAAACAGCGACCAGTTGCTGAGGGGGAACACGTACCAGGGAGCGTGAAGGCGGAGGATTTGCTGGGGAGGGGTTGGGGGGAAGATTAGAATGACTGGTGGTGAGTTAGCAGGGAGCATGCTCTGCTCTGCCAGTCGCAGGTAAATGCTTCAGAGTTGGATATGGCTGTGCAAGAATGGAATGACCAAAGCTACAGCTAGCTTTGTTTTTAAGATTTTTTAAATGTGTCTTTATTAATTATTATTATTATTATTATTATTTTGAGAGGAAGGGAAAGGGAGAGGGGGAGAAAGAGAATAATCGATGAGAAACATCCATCATCATCTGCCTCCTGCATGCCCCCATTGAGAATTGATTCTACAGCCCGGGCGTGTGCCCTGATGGAATCGAACTTCTAGTCACATGGGTTGGTGCTCAACCATGAGTCACACCAGCTGGGCCAAGCCTGAATTTTTAATGTAATTGTAGTTAGTTTAAATTTACAAAGCCACATGTGGCTAGTGGTTGCCATATTGGATAGCACATTCGGGATATTTTATTTCACATTTTTGTTTTAGATTTGGATTTAAAATCCACCTGTAATCGGTTTTCAGTAGGTGGAGAGGGACTGTATTTTTTTCTTGTATGTAGAAACCTAGTGACAGTCACCAAGGAAAAGAGTGCCCTTTTCTATTTTTGCTCTCAGTTTGTGTATCCGGCATGTTCACTCCCACACCACACACCACGCCACCTTCAGTAAGTGGTTGAGTGCATCTTCTCCCTACTTCTTCCAAAGCATCTTGGCCCTTCTCGGCCCGTTCCTTTTCCAGCTAAGTATTAAAAGTATCTCAGATTCTCACAAATTACTTTGGAGATTTTAATTGGGATTTACATTGGATCTATATCCCAGCCCATCGTAAGCATGGTATAGTAATCAATTATTTATGTCTTGCATTTCTCTCAGTAATAATCTGTGATAATATTTTATGTAAAGATCTTGTACATCTTTTGTCATTTATACTAGCTATTTGCTATTGTAGTAAATAAATCTGTTTTCTAATTTTCTAATTATTGCTAGTATGTTGAAATACAATTGATTTTATGTTATTCTTATATCCAGCAACTTAACTAAATCAATTTATTAATTCTTAGAGATTGTTTTGGATTTTCTAATATACCCCATCCTATCGTATGTAAATAATGACAGTTTCATTTCTTTATAACTCACACATTTTATCATTTTATTTCATCTTGCCTTATTCAATTACCAGAGGAACCTGGAACAGAATCAGCACACTCTTTTGTAAAGGACCAGATGAGAAAGAAGCCAATTCCTATATAAATGTATAGACTCTAAAGTGCTGTGCTAACAGGAAGTCAGAGTAGATGATTGGTAGAAGTCTGGCAGATGAGTCTTTATCAGTTTGTAGTAATTCAAAGGCTGTACGCTATTTTGATAAAAGGGGCCATTTTTACAGGGAAGGGAAGAAGAAAGACGAATTCAGAGCCACGGAAAAACAGGGGTAAAACATTTGCCAAGCAGATTGGCACTGCTGGAGAGTGTATGGTTATTTTGAGTGTGACTAAGTACACACTAATGCTTGCCTCTCTTTAAATCCCCTCAGGAAAACTAGAAATGAAGGTACATATGCACACAAAGTTCTGCCTCATTTGTTTGCTGACATTTATTTTTCATCACTGCAACCACTGCCATGAGCCACATGACCACGGGCCCGAAGAGCACCACAGACATCACCATGGACTGGCAGAATCGGAGCAGGGCAAGTTTTCAGAGCTGGATGCTGCCAAAAACGAAAAAAATTATTACATTGAAAAACTTTTTGACCGTTACGGTGAAAATGGAAGGTTATCCTTTTTTGGTCTGGAGAAACTTTTGACAAACTTGGGCCTCGGAGAAATAAAAGTAGTTGAGATTAATCATGAGGATCTTGGCCACGATCATGTTTCTCACTTAGATATTTTGGCAGTTCAAGAGGGGAAGCATTTTCATTCACACAACCACCAGCATGCCCATAAGCATCTAAACTCGGAAAATCAAACTGTGACCAGCGTGTCCGCGAAGAGGTACCGTAAGTGTGACCCCGAGAAGGAGGCAGTTGAAGTGTCTATCAAGTCTGATGATAAACACGTGCGCGACCGCAATCACCGGCTATGCCATCACCATTGTTTGCGGCATCACCTTGATCATAACACCACCCGCCATCTCGCTAATGATTCCATCCCTCACGGTGAGCGTGGGGAGACTAGCCAGGAGCCTTCCGCAGAGACCAATAAGACCCAGGAACATTCTGAAAGTAAGCCCCCGAGGGGAAAGCGGAAGAGGAAAGGGAAGAACGATGAGAATTCAGAGGTCATCACGCCAGGCTTTCCCCCGAACCATGACCAGGGCGGACAGTATGAGCACAATCGGGTCCATAAGCCTGATCGTGTACATAGCCCAGGCCATTCTCATGGGCACCCTCCGGAACATGATGGTCACGATCCTGGTCATGGACACCAAGATCCTAATCCTGATAATGAAGGTGAACTTAGGCACACGAGAAAGCGGGAAGCGCCGCATGTTAAAAAAAGTGCAATCTATTCAGCTGCTAGTCACAAGGATCATAATGCAGATGACCGTCAGCATGAGGTGAGTGGAAAAAGACGGTCGCTCCATAGTCCTTAGACAATTATGGAGCATTTTAAGTAAAAAGAGAAGTAACGGTGGAATAGTTAATCACATTAAAACATTTCTAGATAATGTAAAATAAACACGTTAAGGAAGTTAGATTAAAGTTTTTATCCAGATTTTTACTTGCATTGTTTGTTCTCAAATTTGGGTTCTTAAAACCTAAATGTTTGAAGGTTGTTAGAAAATATAATCTTATATTCATTATTTTACTACCTTATGACTTTTAACTCCCCAAGTTAGTTTCATGTTGTTATTAGCTGGTTTCCAGATATTTGAAAATTGAAGCCTTTTTTGTTCAATCTTTCCTCTTGGGAAGTGACTAGACAGGTTCTTTTTTATGACTATTAACTTACTGAATTAATCACGGAATAGGTCCTAGTCATTGATATAACTCCAAATCGGATATTTGTGCATATCATAGGTTTCTTTACTCAATGTCACTATGATAGGGCCTACTTGCTCATGCTATAGTCTTCTCATGCCTTTGACAGATTTAGGGTGCGTGCAAAATATATAATAATAGGAAACTCCAATACTCATGAAGTATTTGTGTTTTCATGATTTTTTGTAATAATTTTACATCAATTGATTCCTCCTTAGTTTTTTAAAACTATACTAGTCTTAAACATTTATTTTTTTTTGTTTTATGTAAGGTATATTAACACCTTTGTTTATTCTAATTTTATCACTTATGTTTAGAAAAAATTGACTTATGGTTCATACGTATAAAAAGCAGCACCATCTTCTAATATAGAATATGATGGATTAAGATTCATCCTTTGTTGTTTATGTCTTTACAATTTAAGTATGTTTTGCATCTAAGTAAACATCTTTGTGTTTCTTCCCTAAAGAAGTCACCAGATAATTTGTTTTAAGCAGTTATAAACACTGGTAATATTAGTTTACTTTAAAAGATTTATATTCATCTATTACTGTGGATGATAGCCTTGAATCTTTTGTTGTTAATAACTGTACATTATTATTTACTTTTTGTGTCAAACTTGTAGGGTTGGCATCATCAGACCTGATGCGTATTTTGAATTTTTTTTAGGATTTATGGGAACATTATGCATTGGGTAGTTAAAACCTAGGAAGAATCATTTTTTGGTTTGTATGTGTGTTCTCGGTTTGGTTTTTATACCTAGGTAAAATCATAGACTGAGGTAGCAAGTCAATAAACAGGTATGCTTGCTAAGCGGATATGTGTGAAAAAGAGGCAGTGCCATCTTTTTTGCCTTAATTTTAGAAACTTCTTTTCTGTATGACGGGTCAGACTTGCTCACTCACCGTTTCCTACTTTGTTTGGGTTGGCACTGAAAGCACTAATGGAGGAAGCTGCCTTGTTCTCACCTTCCAGCTTCAACCTTAGGCTAGAGTCCCCTTTGGCATTGAAAAGCCTGTCTTATACTAAGCCTGTCTTATACTAGAACGCAAAGTAATTAAAGTAATTTAAGTTTATTTAACACTGTTTACAAGTAAGAATCTTGAGTAACTAATAAATACACTTTGGCTAGAGAAGTGATTGCCCCCCACCCCCATAAGAATCTTGTGATGACAGTTGCTAATCTCTCTGATCAATGGCAGTAGATCATTATCTTTCGTGTGTTAGAATGGAAGAACCTTTAAAACCCATAAAGTCGTAGGTAGTAAGTTGAATGTATCCCTATCATAAACTCCTATCCAAAAGCTTTATTTCTAATATATATATTGTATTACAAATTATTTTCAAATAATAATTAGAATATTTCCTTTATACAGTAAATTGTTTCTGCATGAGCTTTTAAAATACTCTTTGACTTGTTTTACCCCTTCCCTTACAGTGCTTGAATGTCACTCAGTTGTTAAAATACTATGGCCATGGTGCCAACGCTCCCATCTCCGCTGATCTGTTCACCTACCTTTGCCCTGCGCTGTTATATCAGATTGATAGCAGACTCTGTATCGAACACTTTGACAAACTTGTAGTTGAAGATTTAAGTAAGGATAAAAATACGGTTCCAGAAGATAAAGCAAATGTCGGGGCCTCAGGTAAGAAAGATTTCTTTTTCTCCTGAAGATGGTTTACATTCTAATTTTTTATGTAGGTGAATTAGAAAGTAATTCCGAATTACTGCCCTCCTTTGGTGTCTTTCCATATGTTTTAATATGTGTGTTTAAAAAAGACCTGGGTAAGACAGGAGGCACGGTGGTGTAGTGTGGCATTGCAAAGGAAGGATTATGCTAAGGAACTAGATGAAAAAGGATACACAGGTTTGTGATAAATGGATCTTTCTTGATGGGCAAGTGTAAATAACGGGCCCCTAGTTAAAATTATTGCTAAACATTTAGCAGGGGTTGAGGGCTCTGGTGAAATGCTAAGATGATTGTTTTTAAGGAGGCACAGAGGGAAGAAAGCCAGCGGGACCTAGAGGGTGTTATGCTAAGTGAAAAAAGCCACTCGGAGGAAGACAAGTACCACGTGACTTCACGCACAGTGATTACCAGAAGGAAAGGGGATGAGAGTGGACAGAGTAAGGGGCGGGGATAACATTTGGTGATAGACCTTGGGTGGTGAACACACAATACAATATACAGATGATGTATTATATACTTGAAACCTATATAATTTTATTAATCAATGTCACCCCAATAAATTCAATAAATTATATTTTAAAAGATAAACAGAAGCCTGTAATTGTAACCATTATGTTCTTAACTGCTTCCTGCTAAAAGGATTCTTAAGTATGCTTTGCTAGAATATGACCGGGAGATAGTTACACATTTAGTTATACTTCAGAGTATTTTCACATATGATGCAGCCAGATAGGAAAGTGGTCTAGAGGTAAACACTGGTGTGGGTATGTGTTGTTGTAAGTACAGATTAGTAAGAAAAAACACAAGAATGGTCTTCTGGGTAGACAGGTTGGGTCCAGACTGGTACGCTTAGTGAAGGAGACAAAGTGAGTCCACTCCCAGGTTTGAATGCTGCGGATTGGGTGGGTAAATAGGCCCCTCTCTGGCTTCTGTTCCCTGATCGTGTGGAGGAGTAAATACCTCGAGAGGCTCCGTCCTTCAGGCCTTCTGCATTGTCACTGTGACAGAAGAGAAGGGGAAGCTGGGCCTGAGGTTACTGACTTAACTCAAGTCATTTGTTCTGTACAGGGGAGACGGAGACTGACGAGATTGTCACATCGAGATTTAAAATTAATAGCCTTGTTTTATTTTTAAGGTTTTGAAAAATTCTAATTTTGGCTTCCACATCCACTGTCGATTATGACTTAGAGTTTTCCATGTTGTAATATTGGAATAATCTACATATTATAGTAAACTGCTTGACTAAGTAATATTGAAAATTACAGTTAATCTAAAAGCCTTAGAGGAAATTGTACTTGCTTTGAAGACAAATACATTACTAAATAGTGAATATTGATTGATCAGTTGTTCACAGGTGGTTATTAGCATTGTGAGAAATGAAGATTGAATTAATTATGTGCTAATAGACATTGATAATTATAGAGAGAAAGCCCTGCAAGAAATTATTTTTAATGACTGCTGTACCATTAAGAAGGGTTAACTTGTTCTATATAAGTCTCCCATAGAGGCACAACTACTACCTCATTAACTGTTCAAAGATTTCTGTAAACCCAGTATACTGTGTACTGTAGAAATCGTTTGTTTCACCAGATTGGCCCATTTAGTCATAGAGTTGTCCCTGGCTTAATTGCCATGAGGGTGTGAATAGGTTGATAAGCATTTTCTGCCAATTAAAATGCTGAAACAGTGTAGAAAACGGCTATCGTGCGCATGCTTTGAAGCAAGTTAATTAGAAAGTTTCCACAGATGAACGCTTCTTTTTAAAAGAACTCATTTTCTCTCTAGATAATGAGAAGGGGAATTGGTGAATAACTAAGCTCGAAGACCTTTAATGTTTTAAGCGACCTAATTTGCAGAATAAGTGAAGTTTCTTTCAGACGTTTAGCATGTGTTTTTTTATTGCAGTTGGTGTCTTGGGTGCAAATAAAGGAAACTATTGGTAGTTGTATTGAATGGTTTATACATTCTGGCATACATTTGATAAAAGATGCTTCTTTAATGTGTTTTTTAAAAATTGATTTGGAGAGGGAGACATCAATTTGAGAGTGAAACCTACAGGGGATCGAACCACGACCGGGGCATGTGCCTTGACCGGGAATTCAACTGGTGACTTTTTGGTGCATGGGATGTCACTCAACCAACTGAGCCATACCCACCAGTTTTATTTGTCCTTGTTTTATACCAAATAAATTGTGATTTAAAAAGCACAGTAATTTGGTGAGAAATCAGAAGAATTTTATTACTACCCAAATTGCTTTTTCAACACCTAGGAAATTATGGTAGAGTTTACTTAAGCTAAAATGCAAATATTATTATTTCTAAAAAGTAAGGATTGTTTTTGTTTGTTTGTTTGTTTTGGTTATTTTTTAGTTTAAGTAAATTGTACAGAAAGTCAAATTGGAGGAAAGAGAGTTTGGAACTGGGTTTGGAGGAGTGATGATATCGAGGAAAGTAGAACTGAATTATCCTTGTAAAAATAAGAAATGAGATACAATAATAAGACTCTTTTGTATGTATTGTAAATATATTTCCATTTTGGACTAATATCTAGTTTCTTAAACTTTAAAAGGAAGATTTAAAAAGATTACAGTATATTATATACTTGGTTTTTCTTTAATGTTCCCAGGAGAGGTTTATAACTATACTAGAGTCCGATGCACAAAATTCAAACATGGGTAGGGTTCCTAGGCCTGGCCGGCGATCAGGGCCGATCTGTGGAGTGACCGGCAAGGTGATTGGGGGCCCCTGCTGGCACGGCCTTGGCTGGCATGGGATCTAGGGTCTGGGGTCTGGGGCAGCTCCTGCATTGAGTGTCTGCCCTGTGGTGATCAGTGCATGTCATAGGTCATTCCACTGTTCAGTCAATTTGCATATTAGGCTTTTATTATATAGGATTTTTTAAATAAACAGTTTTATTGCTATGGCTCTGCCTTTATATTTCAGTCTAGATATTAAGAGTGAATCATAGCCTTAATTCATTTTAAGTCCCTTTTTCTGATAAGGTGGGTCACTGAGGATATTATTTATAATTTGCTCTGAGTTTCTTAATTCCTTTTTTAAGTATTTAAGCTAGTTATATGGTTATTTATTTTGTTCTGTTTTTAAGTATAACAGTACCAAAATATAAAGCTTCTTTTTTTTTTTTTTTTTTAATATATTTTATTGATTTTATACAGAGAGGAAGGGAGAGAGATAGAGAGTTAGAAACATCGATGAGAGAGAGTCATCGATCAGCTGCCTCTTGCACACCCCCTACTGGGGATATGCCCGCAACCAAGGTACATGCCCTTGACCGGAATCGAACCCGGGACCCTTCAGTCCCCAAGCCGACGCTCTATCCATTGAGCCAAACCGGTCCTGGCTCAAAATATAAAGCTTCTTAAAAAGTATAGTCTGGGTATGACTCATTTATCTTACGTTTATTTTTCTTGGGAGCTTTTTTGATTTATGTTTGTGCTAATGTTGACTGTCAATTTCTTTCCCCAGCATGGATTTGTGGCATCATCTCTGTCACTGTCATTAGCCTGCTTTCCTTGCTGGGCGTGATCTTGGTTCCCATCATTAACCAAGGATGCTTCAAATTCCTCCTCACATTCCTGGTTGCTCTGGCTGTAGGAACAATGAGCGGAGACGCCCTTCTTCATCTGCTGCCCCATGTAAGGGATCCTTTTAAACTTAAAAATAAAGTAAAACAAAAGTGGAACTGTTTAAGCCAAAAGGTTCTTGCATTATCAAGCTCTAACAAAAAAAATCTAGTATTTGTGCTATTTTTTTTTTTTTTTTTTTTTTTTGCTTCACAGAATAAATATTTTTTTCCCATTTGAGCAGTTTTTATAGCAATATTTTTAAAATAAATTGAATCATTAGGTTTTAAAATAGCAAAAAGACTGGTAATGTCAGTTTTATGTTCACCTGTCCGAATGTATACACGTCAAATTACCACGATGTGTACTTTAACAGTTGTTCTCTAATGTTTAAAGTTCTCTAAGATTAATATTGTGAAACGTGAACATTTCACAATTAAACATAACTTTATTAGCACACATATATTTATTTTTGCTAAAGTTTAAAATATAGAACATTATGCAGTATACTTCTGAATAATCAGCTTAAGAAGAAGTTAGGTGATAGGGAGTCGCAAGTGATCACCCAGTGGTGAACTCCTTATGTTTTATTTTTACTAAATACCAGGCATTTATCTGGGTCATAGACAAAGGACCCATCGCTCCCAGTTTGCTTACTGCTGATATGGCTCTCTGACGGTAGCATGTGTCTTAACCCCTCTTAGCATCTGAATTGGTGGTCTTTGTCTTAGAGTTACCATGAAGCGTATTTCATAGCATTTCAATAGCATTTTAATAATTTGTTTCAAAACTTTCCTTATTCTTGATACCAGTCTCAGGGTGGACATGATCACAGTCACCAGCATGCACATGCGCATGGGCATGGCCATGGCCATTCTCATGGACATGAGCCCACGAAGTTTCTGGAAGAGTATGATGCTGTGCTGAAAGGACTCGTCGCTCTAGGAGGCATTTACTTGTTATTTATCATTGAACACTGCCTTCGGATGTTTCAGCACTATAAGCAGCAGAGAGTGAGTACTTCGCAATTGTTTATTTCACTTTCTGGGATGTAAACTCAAAGACCGTCATTTTCTGGCCATGTGTTTAATTATGGTGTTGGTGTGATTTAAGTCTCTCTTTTTTAATAAGTTATCTTCATAGTAATAAATGGCATTGATCCTGGCCATTTTGGTCATTACATTTATTTTGGCTTTTATAATCAAGAAATAGTAGTCTCAGTCTCAGTCTCAGCTCATTTGTGTCACACCTTATTTAACTGAGTTAAATAGGATGCAAAAGCTATTGGTCAGTTTGCACTTACAAAAATGCAAAAACATACAAATACAAGCAAGTTTCATGTGTCTTCTGAGGTAATTTCAACTCTAAGTGGCTTTCATTGTCACACACTTCAATGGAAATGTTGTCAGACAGCATACTTCTTATCAGAAAGCCTGGCCAATGGCAGGATACTAGAGGTATAAGAATTTACATTCAGGAAGCTTTATATTAGGAAGGAAATAAGGCAAATGAAGGAAATGGTGATTCTTCTCAAGAGTGACAAACCATGTGGGAGATGATGCTTGAACTGTTGATCACACACCCTGCTTTTCATGAACTATCAGTTTCCTGTCACATTTATGAGAATAATACAAATTCCAAAAGAATGTTCTCCCCAGGAAGGTAAGTTTGGGATTACCATTCACCATGATTACATGTCTCTCTGTTGAAGTTGATTTATGTGAATCTAAAGTTCTATCTTGAATATATCTCACTAACATGATTATTTTCAGTATATGCTCTTTAAATCTAGAGGACATTTTTAGGAAGCTTTCTATACACACACACACACACCCCAAATAAAAAGGATTAAAAAATTCTTACATTTTGTTAGTTAACTGCAGATATTAAAAAAAAAAAAATACTTTCTTCTTCCTCAAGAACATTGGATAGTCGTGATCATCATGTATTATTATACAGTCCACACCTAGGATACAACTTTTATGCTATTTTTATGTATATGTTTTTGTGTTTTTAGATCTTCTTGAGACAAAATAAATAGTTTACAATAGAGCTCTGAGCTGGGAGGCAGGGGGAGTAATTCTAGTTCTTGCTCAGCCACAGCTAGCTGTAAAACTATGATTCATTCATCATGACTTGCAGTTGCTAACTACGGGAAACAAATCCCATTTCTCGTTTTCATATCCTATTCCAAGTAGAATATATTTCACCTTAATTGCCATATTTTAGTCAGGGCACCATCATGTTTATTTGCCTCCGAAGGAGGGGGACATGATGGTGGCCAGGGAAGAAGGATTAAGGAATGGTAAAGGAACTGGAAGGACCCACTTAAAGCAGAGTGAGAGAGAGCCCACAGCACGTGGTGTTGGAAGGGCTGTGGAGGGAAGACTAGAATGTGGTGGAAGGGTGCTGAGTAAGAGGGGCTGGAGGGGAGGAATCGGCTAAGGCAGTCAGTGCCAATCATTGAGTGGTGAGGTGGGCTTGAGTTACAGTCATGGTGTAAGGACTGGAGGAGGGGAGGTGGGTAAGAGAACTGTTAAAATGAAAGCATCAATGAGAAGACTTGGAATTTGATTAGATGTAAGAAACATGAGAATTTCGACTCCATCTCAGTGAGTACCTGATTTAGATCACAGTGACATATTGCAAACTTTATAAAGCAGTTTTGGAATAACTGTGAAGCCTAAATTCTCTTGAGTTGTGTATACCTACTAACATCAAAGCAGCAGATAGTAAGTATTTAATCTGTCTAAATTATTAGCGACTGTATAATTTACAGAGAAGTATAAATTACACCAATTTTCCTTTTTTATAATTGAATCTTGATCTCAGTTTGAACTTAAATTTACCAGCGAAATGAAACACATTTATTTTATTTTATTTTTTAAAATATATTTTATTGATATTTTACAGAGAGGAGGAAGGGAAAGAGATAGAGAGCTCGAAACGTCAATGAGAGAGAAAGATTGACCAGCTGCCTCTTGCACACCCCCTACCAGGGAGGTGCCCGCAACCAATGTACATGCCCTTGACCGGAATCGAACCTGGGACCTTTTAGTCCGCAAACCGGCGCTCTATCCACTGAGCCAAACCTGTTTCAGCGTGAAACACATTTATTTTTATAAAGTAAACTAATGTAGGAGAACAGAGTTCCCAAAATATGGCAGCTTATTTATAAATTTGAAATTGTGGGACCCTAGCCAGTTTGGCTCAGTGGATAGAGTGTCAGCCTGTAGACTGAAAGGTCCCAGGTTTGATTCCTACAAAGGGCACATGCCCAGATTTTGGGCTCCATCCTCAGTGTGGGGCATGCAAGAGGCAGCCAATCAATGATTCCCTCTCATCATTGATGTTTTTTTTTTCTCTCTCCCTCTCCCTTTCTCTCTGAAATCAATCTATATATATATATATATATATATATATATATATATATATATATATATATATATTTTTTTTTTTTTTTTTTAAAGAAAAATTGTAGGAGATAAAAAATAGAAGGTACTCTTAGCAGAGGGGTATTGTAAGTTTATAATAAGAAGTTCTTCAAGTATATTAAGGAAAGGAGTCTAGGTAGATAAGTTCGTTCATGTCCTTCATGATAAAGAGGACAATGCCTAATTTATGATGACACTCGCTGTGCAGGCCTTTCTAAGGAAAGGAGATGAGTGATACTCGAACAGAACAGATACTTGATCGCCTAATGGGAAAGTCAGCTCTTGGAAGGGAGCTTTCAAGAGCATCCATTCGGCAGCACCCGGCCATGACTGGTTCAGGCTGAGCTAGAGGCGGATGACTTGGCAGGTTTTTCAGGAAGTGGGCAATCGGAGCCCCAGAATCCCAGCAGCCTTTCGCATTTTCTCCTTTACTCTCCATCCCTCAGCTTTTCCTGCTGGTGGCTCCTCCTCCTCTTTAGTGACTCTCCTCCCAGGGTGTCTCCATACTTTTATTATTTGAACGTTGTCTGTTTCTCCCCTTTCTGTTACCTATTGCTATGAAGCAGAACAACCCAAACTTAACGGCTTATAGCAACGGTTTATTATTTCTCTTAATCCTGTCAGGGATCTGGGCAGGGCCCAACTGAGCAGTGTTTTTGCTTCACTTGGTGTCAGCTAGAGCCACTCACTGCCTGCCAGGGCAGGGGAAGTCCAGGAATGCCTCCCTCCTCATCTGAGTGCCTGCATCTTGGTCTCCTCACACACCAAACCCCCCACCCCCTCCCTGCAGAGTCTAGACCAAGCTCCAGAACCGGGACTGCTTCCCATTAAACAAAGTGCCAGCCAGCCTCCCGTCCAATGTGTTAGGTGACGGCAAGGCAAAGGCCAGCCAGAATTCAGGCAGGGGAATGTGCTGTACGTGCTGCGGGTGGAGAAGAAGGCTGAGGCCGGGAGGGAAGAGGCTGATGGTGGCCATCGCTAAAGACTTCACTAGCTCAGACAGGCTACCTCACAGCATTAGGAGACTGAAACCATTTACAGCTGGAAGCAAAACCAACTTTCCGACATACCTGTGATTAGTCTCTTACATTCACATAGACTAGAAATAGAACTTCAAGTTGGAAGAGTTAGTGGCAGTTACGTTGAACAAAGAAAGGAGGCTATCCATATATATAAAAGGCTAATATGCAAAGAAGAAAGGAGGCTATCTATCTATCTATCTATGTAAAAGGCTAATACGTGGAGTGTCCCCTCAGGAGTTCCCTCACTCGCTCACTATGACCTGTGCTGACCACCTGGGGACAGTGTGGAATGAAGAAAGGCCCAGCCGGCAGCTGGCAAAGGGACGCCCTGGCCAGCAGCCAGAAGGCCCCAATCGGCCCGATTGCCGGCCAACCCTAGGAACCCTACCCGTGCAGGAATTTCATGCCCCAGGCCTCCAGGTTAGAGATAAGTTAGGAAAATTCAAACCTAAACAATAAAATACAATAATTAGAATTTATTAGTAATTGAGAACAGATTAGCTGAGAAACAAAGCTTTATCGCCAAGCTTAGAGTCAGTTACTTATAGGTCATTTTCATACATTCCCTCGTTTAATCCACATAATCATTTTCATTTTGCAGATGAGTATTATTATATTTAATAAATTTAACAATCTCAGAAGTTAATTGCAGATTTGCTATTTTAAGTGAGGTTTGACTATTATGTCACAAGTAGGGAAATATGAGATTGCATTCATCACAGAATAAAATTCAAAGGAATGAGTATTAGTTTGTGGGATTTACTATTCCCACACACTATTAGATAAGAGAGATTACATATATTTCACTTTTAACGTTGAATTAGATGAACTTGAACCTTTTAGCTGAGTATTCAAAAAAAGCAACACTAACATACAAACATAGCTGTATTTTTCATCTGGTTAGACCCCTTGATTAACTTCTAAAAATTTTTCTTTTTCTCACTTCTTTACCATATAATTTATGCATAAAGTTAACACCAGTCATCCCCATAGATGTTAATAAGTAAATATTGCTGCTACTTGTGGCTGCAGATTTGGTAATAACACCAGATTTTTTTCCAGGGGAAACAGAAGTGGTTTATGAAACAGAGCACAGAAGAATCGAATATTGGCAGGAAGCTTTCAGACCACAAGATCAATAACACGCCAGACGCCGACTGGCTGCAGCTCAAGCCTCTTGCAGGTAGGGAATAGTTCTGACTAACAAGAAACTTTTAAAACATAGCATTGAAATATCACTTCTAAACTGTGTTCGTGTTGCTTGATATTTTGTGTCTTTGTGGCTTCCCTAATTTTAGTTTCTAATTTAAATTTTCTTAATTGCAAGTGTGTGTTAATTGTGCTTTTGTTAGTTTTTTGGTTTGTTTAAGCCTTATTTATACCAGAAGTGGGATAAATTAATTGCATCACAGGGCAAAAACCCTATTGTACTTTACAGAACAATGAAACAGACAGTCAAAAAGGCTTTGTGAGTGGTGGGTTAGCGTAATGTTACTTCTTGGCAAGGCAAGATCTTTGTGCCTCAGCATGTGATGGGTTTTCTGTGGAAGGAGGATCAGCCTTTGCGCTTGCAGGAGAAGGATCTCTGAGCTTGAAGTCTCTGGCACCCATCCTGCTGTTCTTCTGCCTGGTAGCTATAATAAGGTAGCTTACGATTTGTAGGGAAACCAAAGCTTTTTAATCTAACATTCCCCACCCCCTCCTATTCCCCTGGGTGTACCAGTGATTTTATGCAGAAAAGCATCAGCCTAGAGCCCACTGTAGATTCGGCCCCAAAATAGAATTGGGAGTATTAGGATATTTGTCACATAATAAATAACTTGAAAACTAGGTCAGAGGTCAACCTCAATTTAAAAAACAAAACTTAACAGATACTGTCATATATGTGAATTTCTGACCTTCAGTCTAGTAATGATTTGAGTAGTATTGTCAGGTGGAGCATTGAGAGATGCAAATTAATTACACTTTGTCTCCTTGCATGGTAAGAGAAGCTTACAGTGGACAAACCTGAAGGTTTGCTCTTTCTCTGGAAAGCTAGGCGTTTATTTTTTACCTGTAAACGCTACAGTAACTGCACCTTTGGTGTCCATCAGCTGTTCATGAGCACTCTGTACGTCCCAGCGCCTCCCACCTGCGCTCCTCTGCTCGCACTTGCCACTGCCTTCAGTTCCTCGTCCCCGGGGCACCTTTTGGCCTTGTGTGTGTTCTCACGTTTTAATGTATTGTATTTGTTTTTAGATATTCATTTATTTAGTGAATTTTAAAAGACATTCACTTAAAATGTTCTTTGCAATGCTGTTCTGTCGGTTTAAATGAGCAAACATGCGTGCCTTACTGTGGATAAAGCATGGCCTCTGCTGTCATAAACGCAGGAACGGATGACTCGGTTGTTTCTGAAGATCGCCTTAATGAAACGGAGCTGACAGAGTTAGAAGGCCACCAGGAATCTCCTCCCAAAAACTACCTTTGTGTGGAAGAGGAGAAAATCATGGACCATTCTCACAGCGACGGCTTCCACGCCATCGACGAGCACGCCCTCCATGCGGCCACACCCAACCACCACGACGAGAGCAAGGCTGCGCTGCGGAAGCACCAGTGGCACAAGCACTCGCATCACTCGCACGGCCCCTGCCACTCGGGCTCCGACCTGAAAGACACCGGCATCGCCAACATCGCCTGGATGGTGATCATGGGGGACGGCATCCACAACTTCAGCGACGGGCTGGCCATCGGTGAGTCCGGGAGCTGGGGCCCGGGCGCTGCTGGTGAAGAGGTCCTCCACCGCGTCATTCTTCCCCTCACCAACGGTCACTTAGAGAGAGTGAATTCCAGGGCTTCACGCATGCCTGCTCTACTTTCCTTCAGGCACTTGGCTTTCTGAAAGCTATGTTAATATTTTTGATGAGTTTAGCTGGGACATAAAGGTATAATTTCAGTGGGTTTTTTTTGAATATGTAAACAAATGTCTGTAATATGCTTAACTGTATGTGTGTGTGTGTGCATACCAGCATCTTTATTTTATTTCATTTAAAAAATATATATTTTACTGTTTTTTTACAGAGATGGAGAGAGAGTCAGAAACATCAATGAGAGAGAAACATCGATCAGCTGCCTCCTGCACACCTCCTACTGGGGATGTGCCCGCAGCCAAGGTACATGCCTTTGACTGGAAACAAACCTGGGACCCTTGAGTCCGCAGGCCAATTCTCTATCCACTAAGCCAAACTGGTAAGGGCAGCATCTATATTTTAAATGTGTGGACACACTTTTTAAATTTATTTTTTATTGAATTTATTACGGTTATATTATACTTCTCAAATAATTTTATTTTCAAGGCATTGTTACCATATTGAAAAAGCTACCTTAACATTGTATTTTCAAGTACATTTACATTTATACATGCTCAAATGAGAACCAATAATTGAAATTTTGGATTTCATTTTTTTAATATCTGATAAAAAGGTGAAGAAAAATTTTGTAATGTTAAAAAATTAATTGTACCAGATTTAAATATATTATATTAGAATTTTGCTAATGTAAACTGATTCTGCCAGTTTGGGAAGACAGTAAATAGGATTAATACATGATCTTTAAGTTTAAGACTCTTATTTAATTATTCAGAAGCATACTTTGGTATCTTTCAGAAAGGAGAGACTGTATTTTTGGATCCATTGTGGCTGCCAATGTTTTTACTCAGAGAATTACATGCATTTATACCTCTGGTCTCAGTCTTCAAGACCATCAGACAAATAATAATTTGTATGATTTGTGCTCTAAGCCCAGAACAATTCGGATAAAAATACTACTCACTTACCTATGTATAAATGAACTTATATGAGTTAAAATTGACCTTCAAACTACCATCAGAGATGGAAATACTGACAACCATTACTACTTCTAAGCTGTTAGTGAGTTAAAAGGCTACACAAACTACAAATTTTAATTTAATAGGGAATATTTCTTTCACTAAGTAGCTCTTTTTATGATTAATACCTATTGAACCTCACTAGCTGTTCAAAAACTATAGTTTGTAAGGTAAGCGAGTCACTCATGTATTATGAAATTAGTTTAGAAAGGCAAAAGATGCTGCACCTGTCATTAATGGATAAGGCAAAACCGAGGAGCTGTGAGCATCACTTCCTGTGTTTCCCTCCCCTCACAGGAGCAGCTTTCAGTGCTGGACTGACCGGAGGCATCAGTACGTCCATCGCTGTCTTCTGTCACGAGCTGCCACACGAATTAGGTAATATGGCCTTTAATATTTTACCACACTCATCACATCTCAGGTTCTTCAATGTTTATTGCATCCGAATGTTAGAAGTATCAAAGCATAAAGAATGGCTGATGGCAGAGTAGAATGTCATCATTTTTTTATTGTATATATTTTTTTTAAATTTTGTTTTATTGATTTTTACAGAGAGGAAGGGGGGGGATAGAGAGTTAGAAACATCGATTTGAGAGAAACATTGATCAGCTGCGTCCTGCACACCCCCTACTGGGAATGTGCCTGCAACCAGGGTACAAGCCCTTGACTGGAATCAAACCTGGGACCTTCAGTCTGCAGGCCTTTGCTCAATCCTCTGATTCAAACTGGTTAGGGCTATTGTATAATTTTTGTTTAAAATTATACACATCTGCAGTCTCATTTTGAATTATCTAACCCCCTGCTGAGTGAAATCATCCTGTTAGCACATTGGTGGGTGGATTACTGAAAATGTGGCCAGGAACTTCGTAGAGGAAGACGTTAAGGAGCTCTTTCTGTGAAGGAAGCTGAGAAAGAAAGGCCAGAGGAAATTAAACTCTGGGAGAGAAGGAGTAAAGCTGATGTGAATTCCGGCCTCCCGGGAGCAGTTAGTGCTCAGGGCCAGTGGAGAAGAGATGCAGGAGATAACATCAGAGGGGAAACCGGAGCCTGGCAATTGTGAAGCCAGTGGTAGACACTAATCTTCTTAGGTGTATTATCTTCATTTTCCCCCAATAATGTTGCAGGTATGTCATTTGCAACAGTTTCTTGGCACATGGAAAAATAATGGCTTGCACGAATTTCTTTATTAACTTCATTAGCAGGTCATGCATTTTCAGTCATTTACCATTGCTTTTTAAGAGAAAGAAACAAGCCCCAGAATTCTGCATGTTACCTTGTATATACTAAGTGTTCAACAATTACATGAATGTTTGTATATTTAGTAACTAAAAAAACTTTATTATAGTTAGTAAAATTATTAATTTTGACCCTTTAGCTCTAAGACATTATTTCTTACAGAATTTTGCCCTTCTCTCTAACCCAGAGATTTTCAATCTTTTTCATCTCATGGCACACATAAACTCATTACTAAAATACTGTGGCCACCAAAAACAAATTTTGTTTTAGTTGATGTGACCCAAAACATAGTTGGAATTTTGATTCATTTACACTCTCCTTCATGCTCTCCCTGTAGAGTCACACCCCTTCCTCACCCCTGCTCCTTGGTGGCCCTGGACTGTTCGCCATCACTGTAGTTTTCTTTTGTAGACTGCCATATAAATGGATTCTGTATAACCTGTCATACTGTCTGTCAGCATCACGCCTTTGGGATTCACCAAAGTTGTGTGTTACAAGGGTTTAATTTCATAAGTAAAAAAACAAATTGGCCTGTTATTAAAGGTAACCTTTTATGTTATTCCTCATTCTGTCTTCTTGATGTTTTCCTAAACTTGTGTGTGATTTCCTGTGGTTTTAGAACTCTTCCCTTCTGCCCTCGCTGCAGGTGACTTTGCAGTCCTTCTGAAGGCAGGCATGACGGTGAAGCAGGCGATAGTGTACAACCTCCTCTCAGCCATGATGGCTTACATCGGCATGTTCATCGGCACCGCCGTGGGGCAGTACGCCAACAGCATCACCCTCTGGATCTTCGCCATCACCGCTGGCATGTTCCTCTACGTAGCCCTGGTGGATATGGTGAGATGCATTCCGTTCCGTTGTTACGCTCAACCTGTAAATAGAACACAACTTCCAAACGTGGGAGAAATCTTTGGATATGGTTTGAAAGACTAATTCTTCAAAGCATGTAGCCATTCTAAAGACATGGGCTAGCCTCGATAACCTATTAGGGAAAGACGGTTAAGTAGGAGCCTGCCTTCTTTGCAAACCAGTTGAGATGTTGAAGGTTTTGACCAAAGGATGTTACTCTTCAAAGTAATCAATAGTATCTAGAGATAGAATTACAGGATTATGACACTGCTTTGAAGGCTGTGTAATATGGGGATGAAAGTGCTTTAATGTTAAGAAAATGGCAAACAAGAAAGAAATGCTATACTCCTTAGGTGAGCCAGTCTTGCAGAAAATTATATCCCAAGGAATTTAAGTAACTTCCCTTATTTCCAACTATGGCCCGATGGCTCTGTCTGCCGCCTCTGCTCTATTGCGCGCGCTCTCTCGCTCTCTCGCTCTCTCTCTCTCTCTCTCTCTCTCTCTCTCTCTCTGGCCACCGCCATCTTCTCTTTCTAACAGTCCTCCCTGCTTCTGCCCTGCCCTGTCCACAGCACTCTGTCAGCACACCAGCTAGTGTGATCTTCTCTTCCGGGACCCTTCAGCGGTTAGGCCATCCCGCTGGTGTGCTTCCATCCTTTACGTGGTTTTCCGTCTGATTTTGTGTAAAAGCACCATGGTGCTCCATCCTCCTGAGCATTTCCATTCCCTCCCCACCTCCAGCTTTCCTGGCTGAACCCTATCTCCTTCTCACCCTCAGGAGCACTCTGCCTCTTGCCAGTCACTCCAAGTCTGATGAGAATACATTATAAGTAGCATTGTGTTCAATAAAATAATTATTTTATCTGTAGCTATGCTTCAGTCATTAGTGTTCTTAAGTGAGAAAATAAAAAAGTATTTGAGCAGATACTGTACAAAATCGCTGGTAAATACCCATGTTTCTGCTCAGCTCCCGGAAATGTTGCATGGCGACGGTGACAACGAAGAGCATGGCTTCTGCCCGGTGGGCCAGTTCGTGCTGCAGAATTTGGGGATGCTGTTTGGATTTGCCATCATGCTGGTGATCGCCCTCTACGAGGACAAAATAGTGTTTGACTTCCAGTTCTGACATTCCGGGATCATGTGGTTACAAGGAGGCTACCGTGCAGCCTGGCATCTGTCCCTGGACTGCGTGCCGTCGCTCCAGGAAAGGTCACTGGCTTGCACCACTTACACGTTCCAAGGTTTGAGCTGTCTCCCGAGACTGGTGCTCTGTACTGTCTTTTTACAAAATGTAAAGCTTGTCGTATAGAAAGGAGAATATGGGACTCCATGAAACATCATTGATATAGGATTAAGACTTCCAAAAAGTAATCATATAAAACACTAAAGTAGTCTCTTTATTAGTAGAAACTTCTGTGGCTATGCAGAAATAGAAATTGAACCAAAAAAAAATCACTTAAACTTTAAAATATTTTAAATGAACTTTGAACAGACTTTTCTTTGTGCTAAAAATGACTTGTAGTGTCCTTTAATTCAGCTACATATATATATATATATAAATATATATATACATGTGGTAACAGGGATCAACTTGACTTTGAGGTTGCATATGTAGATTCTAGGGCCCAGAGGAGAGCTCGGGCTGCAGTAAGGTGTGAATTTAGCATTGGGAAAAGTCCTTATTCTTGAATCTAGAGATACTATTTTTGTATATATTTACAGTGTTTAAACTCCCAGCCTAAACTACTGAAATGTGTGATTGTATGTTTGTGTGGGCTTCAGTTTAATGGAAGATTCATAATGGTTCTTTGTATTAATATTATACTTGGTATTTGGATGTTTTTGTTTTTGTTTTTTTTAATTTTGGGGTTTTTTGGGGGGGAGGTTTGGGTGGGGTAGGTGGTCAGAGCATGTGGTAAAATGTTTTTTTATAATTAAAATTGTAATCCTCTAGAAAATTTCAGAGAAGTGAAGAATCCAAACATGGTCTAAATATTCAGTTTTCCTGCTTTAACAGTACTAACTAGTTATTTGGGAAATTTAAGTTCTAAATGTATGTATCACTTTACCAGATGGCGTTGGGACCAGGCTGTCACCGACAGTAAATTCAAATGTACCATGTCCATAACCAGTACACGGAGTGGTAGAGGAACAAAACAAAAGATGGTGATCCCAGTGGTACTGGGCTATCATAGTACCACGTGACTGGGAAGATCTACTTAAATTACTGAGCTAAAGTCACTTGATCATTTTGTGCCAAGATGTGCTGTTGGTGCCTGATAGGGATTAGTCTCTTCTGTAGGTGCCCTGTTCTCCTACCATTAATTGTGACCGATTTGTGAGAAGTGCCATCTGTGTTTACTCTGAATCTGACCTAATCATTTGTGGCACAGTCAAATGCATGGAGCTTTCTGTTCCCACCCTGTGCCACCTGGTTTCATTTCCACCAGTTCAGCTCTGCTTAACACTGGGCAGGCAGCTTCCTTTTAATTTGCTTGGCTACGTGTAGCTGCTCTAAACATCTTCCTGCTCAATACTGAAGAGCCAAACTCTTTCCATTCCATTAGGATACTTTCACTCAGTCCTCCTCCTTTCCTTGATTCCTTTCCTCCTGGACTCCACAACAGAAACCAGAACTGTGAAGGCAGTACGCCCCAGTGTCAGTGGAGGGCTGCAGTGTTCCTTCTTTCTGCTGCAAGCAGGGAGCTGGGTGTGGTTTCTTACGGGGTGCCCAGCTGTGCCGTTGCGTCTGGCTTTGCCCCTGGTCTCCCGTATGAGGCGGAGTTCTCCGCATGGGTTATTTCAGCAGTGGGAGCAAATTAGGAGTCCTCATCTCATTGCTTGACCCTGCAAGCAACTGAGCTAAAAGGTGCTGATGTTTTACTTAGTACTGCCAAGTTCAAGGGACTCACGTTCCTTGCTTTCTGAACCAAGCCAAGTGTATAGTTCATTGCTGGGTGTCTACCCGGGCAGTTTCTGCATTCCAGCATTGTTAGATCTGCTTATCTCAAAAAAACCTTTATGGAGAGCAGCAGCTGCAATGTGCTCCTGTCGGAAGCACCTGATGTAAAGCAAATAGGCTATGCTGAAGTACATGAAGTTTTATGTTCTCTCAAACACGGTGTTATCTTTATTGGCTAGGTCTTTTAGGAGGGTTGGGACCGTGGCTGCTAGTATTTTGTTAGGGTTCCACCAGTGTTTAGTTATCACGTCATTCTGATGCAGAATTTCAAGTCTTGCAGACAATCTGAATTCCACTACATTTCTGTTTGGCTCCAACATTCCATTGAGCATGGCCAGCCTGCTTTAAGGCGTGTGTTGGAGGTCATTGCTATTACCGTACAATGCTGTCACCGTGTGACATCTGTATGAAATTCGGTGTACGCCACATTGCATTCGATCCGCTGTGATTATGCTTAGAAGTCCTCCAGTGACTCGTGCGGTGTGAAGTTTCCCATTAGCAGTAAGTCAGTGGCTTAAATGTGATGATGGTCCTGCAAGGTGATACTTGCTAAAATATTTAAACTTTCTGTTGTTGTTGTTGTTATTACTGAATCATTTTTTTAAAATTTATAAAGCTGAAGTGATGAAATGCTGTTTTGTTTTTTTTTCATTGTCAACAGTGGTGTGTCATTTTATGTATGTTCCTAATGCCTGTGGAACTCCCAAAATAAAGACATTAAAAAAGATCAAGATGCCAGTGTGCCGTCTCTAGTCTAATCTTTATTTGAGGACATTCATTGTAAATAAGGGCTGCATTTGCACATTAATAAGCTTATAATTAAGTGTAACTGTAGACAGATTGACTTCCACTAATTAGGTTGTTTAAAAAGGAAAATCTATTTTCTACTCAATCGTGTGACGAGAGGAGCGGGACGAACGGGCGTCTGGCCGCTAGACACTGAGCTGGCACAGCAGGGCCACGCCGCGCCCGATCCAGTGCTCCTTTGGGTGGTCGGAGGGCAGCGTCATGGCGATCACGAAGTTGGTGGAATGGCCCGTGGTGGACAGTGTCCCTCTCCGCTCGCTGGTCTTGTACAGCGGAGCCACGTAGCTTGGTCGCTTGGGGATGTCGGCCCTCTTGCAGGGCTTCAGCCACAGCTGGAAGGAAGAGCAGACACCTGAGTGAGGGCTGCTGAATTGGGACGTGAGCACAGTAGTTAGAGTCAGCTAAGTCTGCAACTTCTGTGGCCCAAGGAGCTCCTTTGTCAGCAGCACTGCCATGGCCCAGTGTGGTTCCAGAGCCCCCAGACCTATCAGAACCAGTTTAGAAGCTCAGTGAGAAAAAAACTCACTAACTCTTCCTCCCCTCTCCACCGTACTTACCTGGAGAGGACTTTTGGTGCTTACACACAGGTCAGGTGTACCTTACAGAGAGGAAGACTCCACCATTGGTACTCAGAGTCATGCTGCCTCATTCATAAAGTCCCATCCCGAGACAGTCGGGGAGGATTCTTATCAATGATGGTGGGACCAGGTCACTTCCCCATTTTAGGGAAATATCTTTTTATTATTTTTAATCCTCAAGAGAGGACATCTTTTTTTCATTGGTTTTAGAGAAATATCTATCTGTTGCCTACCACGTGCACCCCGACCAGGGGATCACACTCCCAACCTGGGCATGTGGCCTGGTGAGGACTCAAACCCTGTGGTGCCCAGGATGGCGCTTCCACCCACTGAACCCCAGGGCGTAGGGGGGGCGGTGTTTTAAGGTCGCTGATGTGTATGTCATGCAGGTGCAATGCACCCACGTTATCTTTAGAGCCAGCCATGCTATAGAATGTAAGTGTGGCTGAACCTCCCCAACCTCAACAACAGGACTGGGGCCAGCTGACCTCTGGATATGGACACAGCACCAACTGGCCATAAAGATGAAACACGTGTTAGGACTTATTTGCATTCATTTCTCTGTAGTGGTAATAGCAGCGATCCTCTGAGGTGGTAAAGCTTGACCCCATTATCCCTAGTTCTCTTAGGTTTCTCAGGTCAAAATATAAGCTGTAGGAAGGAGCTAATAAGGACGCTAGTCTTTGCCCCCACATAACTGGAATCCAGATTCTTAGGAGGACTCACACAACAGTGTTTCAGACACAGTGAAGTATAAGGACTTATGCCACTCAAGTTGGATGGGTTTCATTTCACCCAAAGGTGGATTATCTGTGTGTGGGGGTGGGGATGGGGTGAGAGGGGTATTGTTGTTGTTAATCCTCTCCTGGGGATATTTTTTCATTGATCTTTTAGGGAGAATAGGCAAGACAGAGAGAAAGATCAATGTGAGAGAAACAAATGGATTGGTTGCCTCCTGCATGCACCCAGACCAAGGCCCAGGCCAGGGAGGAGCCCACAACCAAGGTACGTGCCCTTGACAGGAATCAAACCCAGGACCCTTCGGTCCATGGGCCGGCGCTCTATCCACCAAGCCAAACCAGCCAGGCAAGCGTGGATTTTCTTAATGAGAATTTTTCTCTCTAATTTCCTATTTGGGAGAATCACCCACTTAAAATTCCTTCTAAGTCACTGCAACTACGTCAGCATTTCCGTGTGAAAGGGGAAGAAAAGTCCGATACCAGTCCACTCCTGACATTGCACACTGCCCTGTGGCTTCCAGCTCGGACCTCACTCTGGAACTCCCTCTGCCCCCCTGGCCTCCGTGTCGTGGCAGGTTCCCTGCAGCTGCCTGCCGGCTGGTCCCCCTCTACCTGTCCGAGCTGCGTGGAAGGGCTGCTGCCTGCCTGGGCTGCTCCCTTTTCCCACAAGCCATTCACGAAACCCGGCCGCTGTGTTAGCGCCATGTCACCCTCCCCCTGAGTGATCATCCAGCCATTTTCCCTGACGCAGTGACAGGCGGGAACTCAGAATTTACATGGTTTGGTCTGCCCATGCTGAACGGGTGCCTGGAAAACATACTTTGGGATGTCAGATAGTTCACATTTTTAGGTCAAGGATTATGGCAGGAAAAAATTACATAAGATGTGTGTATGTGTGTGTGTGTGTGTGTGTGTGTGTGTGTGTGTGTGTGTCGGTGGGTCCATACATGCAGTTGATCCTCACCACTCTTGGACTCTGTACTTGCACACTTGCTGAGCACTAACGTGTGTTCGTCATGCTGACATCAGCAGTCTGCAT